TATTAGCGTTCATAATCTTTTTTCGTACACAGGTCAATTGATAAGTGTTTCATACTGACGATTTTTGCAATCGTTGGGGGTAGACTTATTGTATATTAAGTATTAATAAGGCAGAAAACTTTGTTGGAATCAATTACACATATCATATCCATTTAGCGTTTGGTGATAGCATTTTGAAACCCGTTGAATTCTCTTATATCAGTTACTTGTAAATATCTCAATCCTGCAGGAGATCAGTTACTACCTGACTAGCTCAGTGGTAGTTTCCGATTGCATAACTAAGTGACGTGAATCCATGTTAACTGGAAAAATCAATTTCCTTCGAGATTGTAGGTAAGGCTTTTTGACAAGTATGCGCTAATAAGAAACCTAGTTCTAGAGTTTGCTTCCGAATATTTCCAACAATCTAACACTTTCAAATGTTCAGTTTCGAGAATACGTATTCTACAACTACAGAATAAATCTTTTCCTTATTGATTCGTTGATAATATACATTTTTATAAGTTCATGTAAACTTGTGCATACAACTAAAAGTTGTGCGACCGACATATAGATTTGAAATAATTTAGATAAGTGAAGGGCATATAAAAATTGATGGAGTTTCAATACAACCATTTTGAAGTACTTCTAAGATAATTTATAAAAGCCTATTTAAATTTTATTTTTTATTTAAACTAGAGAAAAATAAATTTTCATAACACATAAGTCTTTAGTTTATACACCGTGGCCAGTGGAATCCAATCTGTGTCCGGTGTGAGACAGTTATCAACCTAAGACAATGGATGAAGGGTTGCACAAGATCATGGATCGATTGGAGTTACACACGAACACCGCTAGAGGTCAGGCGTTCGCGTACGAGAACGAAAGTCATGTGTTCAAACCTTTCATGTGGGATCGTGGATGAGCACTTCTGAGTAGTCTCATACTATGACGAAACGGTTGTCCAGTGCTTTCAGGTTTTCAATAGTGATTTGGTCTACATCGACTCACAAACTCAACTATTACAATTTCTACAATCTCCACAAACCTTATTCTGATAATAAAAACGAGAAATGACTAATGAATTCACTGATATTCATTCACTCATGTTTATCAACTAATAATCATTGTTTGTTTTCCATACAACCAAGTCTACTAATCATATACAAATTTACTGATTAGTCATTTTGTTTTGAAGTATATGTCCAGTTAGATTCATTGCATCATTAAGTTGATTTTTTTCTTTGTAAATATTTCTCACTCAGTAGTCTTTCATCAATCCAGTTGACTGATCAGATAATTCACTCATTCATTTTACATTATGAGATATGTAATGACTTATGAAAATTAAATATAATATCATTTGTTCACAAAGTATTTATACTTTGTATGCATCGTATAGTAGAGCGATTGATTCAGAAATAAGGTAATTCACCATCATACTATAAGTTAATAAACGAAATTTATTATTCAATCCACTGAAAGCCGGTAATGTGGATTAATAGAATAGTACAACTGAAAAGTCATAAGATTTAAGAATAAACTTCATGTATGGTTGTTGAATACTTCTGAATTAAAACAAAACAGTTATTTAATTCAGTAAAGGACATTACTCACAAAAGGATACTTATGTCATGAAATACATATGAATTTTCTATAGAATTCATATAAATGACTATAAAGTGTCCATTCTATAATAATCATTTAAAAACTGTTTTATTTCCATCATGAAAAGAAATAATATAAACCGCATTTAACTTGAGATAATCAGTACTTTCAAGAAGCATTTGAAGGTAACTCTTTTTCTGCTTGTTCACACACTTCTTTTTAAATTCATCCGACGACTAGTTGGTTCACTTTATTCAGCCTCGTTAGTCAACTATTTGATAATTTTAAGAGGAATGACAAATTATTCATCACAATCTCGCAAGGTGGGGTCGTGGATGCGCACCACTAAGGAGACCCATAATAGGACGAAACGGCCGCCCAGTGCTTCCAGGTTTTCCATGGCGGTCTAGCTTCAATTAATTCATGATCTCAACTATTGAGATTACTGTAATATCCACAAAAACCTCTTCTGATACTTATTTTTTAATTGAATATTAAATCTTTTAAAGAATTTGTTAATGTTTTTAAAAATGATGATGGAGAAGATTTGCAATTCATGCGTATACTTTTATCAACCTTTTGTTTATTGAACTAGGTGATCATATTGGAAAAACTTCAATATGTTTGTCGTAGAAGAAATCATCAAATCCTAGTTCCTCGTGAATTTGACATTGCTGGTATCCAGAAAGTCAGCTAACGTTTTTTTGATGGAGTTTTGTTCTCTGAGCGGGATGGTGTATGCTGATGATATCGTTCAGAAGAACGATGAAAGCTCCACAACGAAACCATCCAGTTCAGAGAACAAAACTACATCAAAACCATCTAACTGAGCTACAGATTTTCTCCACCATCTCAAAATCATACGAACGTTTTTTTACTATTTCTAGTTGATTCTGAAGTATATTATCTCTTAGTGAAGAGCATCCAATTACTGAGTTACCTTTATGAGGTAATAGATGTAATAGAATAAGATATTTTTATGACTATTCAAGATAATATAAGCTGAATAATAGCAGAAATATTATTTTTAATCGTCAGTCATTATAAAATACATTAAAATTGCTTTTTAGTATCCGCATATTTTAAATGATTAGCCTGTGATGAAGCTATATAAACAAACTTCATTAATATATAGTATAAATGTTAACTTTTGATTTTAGTGATAAATACATGGAACTTAATTACTGAATTATAGCCAGATCTTGATTACATTTCAGTTGTTAAATACTCTGAGAAGCATTTGATTTAAGTCTGATCATTGAGTAATTGATATTGGTGTTTTTTTCTATAAAAATCATTTCCAAATCCGTGAACTCATCATAAACTGAAATCAACTGAAGAAGAATTAAATACCAGACAGAATTAGTTAACTGTTTCTTCCTAATTTCTTACTTAACAGAGGTGTACATCTATGAAGGGAACAAAGACTGAGGTTAGAATCTTTAACTCTTGTAGTCATTTAAATTATTTTTAGAGATGGAATTGGAGTGTTCGAATTTCAAGCTTCAATGAATTCATAATATAATGTAATACTCATTAAAAGTCATTTCACTTTCAACATGTTTGATCTTCAAAAAACACAAACTCTTACGAGTATTTTGGAATCTAATTTCTAAATAATTAATTCGTGAGAATATGGTAAATTGTTGGTCGAATTCACTTGGTACTAAGGGAGGTGTACACTAAGAAGTCCTATTTTTAGGGATAACTGATGGTTTGGACAGTATAATTTAATCAGACGTCTTAGTAAACCGGGTTACAGAATTGACTTACAAAGTTGAATATTATAATCTGCTCATGTAGAGAACCTGAACCTCAAAAACAAGTACATAACAATTTTCTTTCACATTCGTACAATTGAAGAACATGTGGAACTCAAAATAACTGCCATCCAATAAACAAAATCTGTTATTAACCACAGAGTAATTGTATATGAAATTTGAATAAGTATTTCATTTGAATTACATCATTAGTATAATTGATACATTTTCGAAACTACCATATATCAAAGTAACAACCTAAACGGAATCACCTTCATACGTGTGATTTCTTGTGCATCATCACGTCATTATCAGTTTAAATGGAACCAAACTCATCTTCGTCAGGAAGAGTTTAACGATCATCTGTGATTATTAGACTTGTATATACTCTGAAAATAGGTCAATAAAATTTAAATGCTAATACACAAGCACATGCGACTGTTTTCCTCAGAACAGTAGAGTGAATTAAATAATAACATTAAGGGGAATCATTAAGTTGAATCATTATAACTTGGTATCAAGTAATATAATTATCACAAAAAGAAAGAAAGAATTGAGTTTAGTTAAGTGGCAGTTTATACAGACTTACAGGATGCATGAAGGTTTTTTCACTACACATACTATCATGACCAAGGGAACATATACAGAAGTTACTGAGTATTAATACAGTTAGTTCATAGTAATTTCTGACTTATCAACAATGTACCCCTACAAGTTCACGTGTGATCCAATTTAGAACCTTCGAGCCTTAGAGTGAACACTACTCTTTTAGAGCAGTGACTAGTACATCAATAATCCATATTTCTGGTATATATATTTTTAAAACAAGTTCTACTCATGTTCTAAAGTTCTGAATCTATTCAGGAGCTTTTTTCACCCTGGTGAAGGTCATGATCAATATGATAATATCTATCTTCATTATAGTATGTACATAGATCCTTCACATATGAATTTACATAGCGTAAATGAATTTCATTCAGATATTATTGTAAGTTACTATTATAATTATTCATAATTTAATTAGCATTTCCATCATGTTATTGTTTCTTACTGAAGTCATAAACATTACGTAATCTGTGACCGGACATTTGATCTGATTTGTAATTCTATTATTATTTCTCCCACCCTATTTTGACTATTCATCTCACAATTTTTATAGACCTATAAACTGTATACATTCCAATATTAACAATATAATTTTACTAACGGTTCTAAATTCATATGTTATAATTTCAAAATGTTGTATCTCCCCTAAGTTTGGCTATCCCCTTGAACATTTAGATGTATAAATGAAAAAAAAACTTGGTGTGGATTTATTAAAAAGAATATTCTCCCTTGATATATCAGTGAATTATTATTAATCTTAGGCAAACCATACAAACATTGAGTTTATTAGGGATTTTTTTTCGTTTCTGGTATATAGAAGCTAAACTCGTAAAAGAAGACTGTATATGATTTTACAATGTACTAATCTTTGGTTTATAACATAATTTTCTCTTCCACTTCTTCTTCATACTCACTATAATCTTTAGATCTGTAAAATTCTTCGAAAGATTTTTGTTCTTCCATTTTTATCATTCTATTCAATATTTTAATGATAATTTATACAGTAAGCATTTGTAATATGATTAATAATTTCAAGTATGCGCTTACCTATAATAAATATCAATCAAGTTGCTTGGCAAGAAACAACATAAACTTTATAGGGTGTACTGAACATCGTAAAATGTGTAAATCATATTTAATCCACTTTTAAGTTTAATGTAGGTTTGAATTATCCCTTATGTAATATATCAACTGGAAAAAATTCCTAGTCATGATATTTAGCGTATCTTATTACTAATTGGTTAAAGCTAGACATAATAGCATGTTTATGATTGGTTAACTTAATAAATCTTATTGCCTAATGAATACGGGGTGAGAAATCGGTTTATCGATAAAATTAATGTTCTTAACGGAAATAAATTTGTACAGTGTAATATCCCCTTGATACGTAACGTTTCAGCTTCTTATTGGATAATTTATATATACCGTAAATGAAGAGCATAGGGATTTGTCTATTCGGAAGAAAAAAAAAGCAAAAATCACTAATTAATAATGATGCCAGTAGAAATAATATTGTCGGTATGTGGCTTTATGGAGATTTTAGGAGGTATGGGTTAAACAATGATAATTCCTCAATATCCACGCAGTCCATTGCTGATAATAACCATATTTTTCTCAGTGACTAGCTTCAAGAAACAATTGATTAAGTTTTATTAAGAAGCCATAACAAGTTGAGTTCAATCATGTCAACCGTTAGACAGTTTTCCACTGCAATTGATCGAAGAAGGTCATATAACATTTTGAATTTGCTGAAGTTAGACACGTACATCCATGGATGCTGGCTCAGTGATCCAGTGGTTAAGTGTTCGATTCTCTGAGGTGAGGTCATGAAACCACACTACCGAAAAGTCCCATTCTGGGACGAATCAGCTATCACGGTCTTCATAGGTGGTCTAGATAAGACCAGTTCGTGAATTTAACTACGAAATAATATTCATCAGTTATCATAGTGGAGCATAGGTTAAGTCGCCGAAAATCTACACGAAATGCACTCCAAATAATTCGGGAGTGACAATATGAGAAGATATATGTTTTGCGGTCAACTGGTATGAAGTTAATTCTTTTATCGATAACTTCTATACTACAAAATTAGAAAATATCATTTAAATATCAAATGCGTAAAGTAAAGTACTTATTGAAAACTGAGTAAATTAACATCTGATTCAAACGGTGGGATTCATTCAAACGATGTTATGAAAGATAAAAAGAAGTTGTTTAATAAAACTAGTGTAAAATAGATGTTTGTTTGGATTCACAAATGAAGGGAAATTTTGTACGTATGTACCAACCAGGGTCGTAATGTCGTAAAAGTACCTCCACATCAACCTGATATTCAGAAGTGAGTATCATATCCTTGAGTTGAAAAAGTTCGAAACAACTCTCATTATGATCTACCACATTGCTAAGGTTATCATAAATGTAAACACAAGGTCGTCGGTTCATTGAAAGCACAGATGGTTTGCACATGAGTGAGTCACATCCCATTAGATTAGGGAGGAGTTGTCATGATATGCTCGTGACGTTATACTCTCGTTCAAATGGTTACAAAGACAAATAAACTTCACTGGAACAGTCAAAGAAATCCATCGTGTCATTGAATGAGAATGAAAGACCACAGAGAAGAAAAGTTCCATTCCAAGTTTGCAATAATTGTACAATGGTGTTTGTATTTACACATGCAATAGTCTGTTGGCAAGTTGACTGATTTTGTGTCACAAATCATTTTTTAATATAATGGGAACTTATCAATTAGTAATCTACTATTTGAAACAAAGTTATAAATGTTGCTAGATGTCACAACCTACAGAAATAACTTATCTGTTCAACTATATTCTCTATGTCTGTGTCTCATAGCATAATGAAGAGCAAATCTCTGATCAATACAAACTCTCATAGTGCTCCATAAATCAGTCAGGACTATTGACACAGGGGTATTTTTAAACAAATCAAGAACAACAAGATTTCCCTAATAAAATGAATTTACTATATTTTGAAACTGTTCATCAGCTAAAGGAGTACTAAAGTTACAAACAACGGTTAAACTTGTGTTTAAAAGAGAAATCTACACAAATATGTTCACTAGACACCTAGTGAAGAGTAGACATAAGTTGGGTATCACATAACGTTCAAAATAATCAACAAGCAATTAAATTCATTTTTGTCTCCACTTTATAAGTGCCATTCCCATAATGAGCTTTCGACCTGATTTTGTACACGAAAAGAAAGTGTGGTAACTCTATCATTTACACAATAGAATAAGTATAGTGGTATAAAGTCGTCTATTGCATAATCTCTTCGTTTTCTTTTGTATTCTTAGCATTCCATTGGTGTTAATTTCAATTTCATATGAGGTATGTTGCCCGATAATGCAATCACTAATTTATCTTTTTTTTCATTTTGTCTATTAATTAACATTTATAGTATTACCTTCTTCTCAAAATGACTTCATTATAAATAAATGAATACTCAAGACCTTCACACACGAACGTTTAACTTGGAGACCAATGAGCCGTTCCCAAGTGACATGGCCACGGATGCGCACTCCTGAAGAGTTCCGTACTAGTTTACAATCATGATTTAATCAAGATCAGTCAGTGATTTAATTTAGGAAAATTTGACTATTTCCACAATATCTCTATGCTAAAATATATACTTATGAATCTTAACTATTATGTTAAATATTTCGTATCTTATCCGTTTTGGTGGAGTTTTGTTCTCTGAGCTGGATGGTTTGGTCGTATCTTATCCGTACTTTTTATATATTTTCCCGCCATTTTAAAGTCAAAGTCTCCGACTAAGTTATGTAGAACTTTACTCATATGAACATTACTAATTGTAACATTAAGCTGACTAAATCAAATTATTCTTGGTTTATTTTGAATTTATCAAGGGATTCAATTGTAAAGAGATATTTCTTTTGACTAATCATATTATTTACATGTTACCATAAATTCGATATTTTGTCTTCTTTCTCATTGAAAGATGAAAATGATTTTCCATTTATTTATTTTCTATCCAAACTTTAAACTTCTTGTTATGTACTTAATCTTTTATTATATGAATAAGAGTGGTGTGCTTGAATAGTGTATGAAGTTCCCAGTAAGAATATACAACTTACACCATACACTTCACTAGTAAGTCAATTGTAAACATATCTCATTCTTACTGGAGGTCAGTCGCTGCCCGGATAAGTCAGTGGTAACGTCTCTGACTATGAAGCTGAGTGACACGGGATTGAATCCATTAAGGAGCATCAGTTCCTTCAACATTACAGGTACACCATACTGACGAGTGCCAAGTAGCACGAAACTTATCGAATCCTATTGACTACCTCCAACCACCATCTTATTTCTACATAGTTCACGCAATGTCGAGTCACCTAGACTAGTGGCCACATTACAACTTGGTCGACAGCATTCAATTTGCACTGAGAAGGGCTTGACATACATGACACTGATCACTATCCAGTGATCAATCATTTGCTAAAGACGAACATCAGAAAATATTTACTTATTTGCAGAACTGAAATTTTTTAGAGGAAACATGGCGTTTTATTAAAAGATCTGGACAATGTTGATTGATTTAGTGAAAATCTCAAAATTATGGTGTTTAATGCTAAATAATATAATTAGAAACGGATGAATGACTGGGAAAGGTTTATGTATCGACTATTTGATTTATGATTTATACAGTTTCAATTGAAAGCTTTCATGTAATTTATTAACTATAGATATAGATTTTACGGTTTATGAATAATCGTTATTTCATTTATGCCCTTGTTATTCTGTTTCATACTATAAATGATCGAGTTATGCACAAACTGTGCTTTATCGCTTATAGTTCAGTGTTCAGTTCTTGGAACTGACAAATATTATCATGTTATTTTTTAGTTATACACGGTAGAGTAAATCAGATGGCATTCCTCGTAGTCCGATTTGTCAAGATCAGCATACGTTGTGCTGGGGCAATCAACGTCAGCATGCTTAGTGGACATAACAGGTAAAGTGAAAGTCATTTATATTTTTGGGGTTATCAGAATAGTGAAATCTATAAATTATTGACTCCAGTAAATAAGCACCTTAAAGTTGGTAAGATAATACATAATATCTTATCAGACTAAAGAGTATTGCTAAAGTGTGTCAAGTTAATGATGATGTGTTCGATTTTTAGAAGTAACTATTTGATAAGTTTCAAGGCGAAACTAATGAAATGAAGTATCATTTAACTGTAAATCCGTGAAGTCATTTGAAGTGAATGACTGGTGCTTCTAGAACTACTGAATTTAAAAATGATTGTTGCTTAATTTATTTTGATATGGGAGCTCCATATTTACATTGAGTAATTCACTGGTTCTCTATAAAACAAACAATCAATTCAGCTATATGTGTGTCTGTTATATGTTGAATGTTGATTTCTTGATATACCACGTATAACAGAGCATCAGAACACCAAAACCCTTCCAAGTCGCAATAAGAAGACAGAAGACTAATGAAAGGAATATTATTCCAGTGTCAATTATAGTACAAGATTGTCAGGTATTTATAGTTTTTAGTAAGAACGAAATCATCATTACAGTCTTCCAATCCGCATACAGGGGGCTATTAGCATTGTCCAATCGGGAAGCTACATGTAGGAATTCTAGAATATTCTTCCCAAAGGTGAATGGATGGAACATCTTCGGCTCCTTCTGAGCCTCTTACAGCTTCCTCGAGTTCACCCGTGGTCCGTCGTCACAGTGTCCGAGTTTCATTTTAACAATTGTTAAACTTCTGTCAGGTGAACCGTCACTATCTTCAAATTTTGTTAGCATAAACTAAGATAGCTATTTGAAAAAAGTCATCCTTGTTTTCTTAAACTTTTTATCGTTCCTCATAATTAAATATCTAGTTTTTGAGACTGCATGACATGTCTTTTACAAGTAAAATGCTTGGTTATACTGTAACTCATACAAATTACATAATACATTTTGTGGACAATTATCATACATACAAACCGTAATAATACTACTCTAATGTGTTTACGACAAGGAATCACGGTATTACGAGCCCGACAAGTTTCTCTAATCTAAGACATAATTTAATGACCTGTTATATGAGATATGAATTACAAATAGTTTGTGATAAGTT